GCTGAACTTTCATGGGGAAAACACAGCCACAAGGTGAACCAAAGGGAGTTGAAGTAAGAGGCTCCACACATGTCTGCTGGCAATCTATCAGAAGAAACAGACATAATGGGACAATTAATACTTATCTATCGATTGAAGTCCTTAACAAATAACAATATCTTATTCAAAGAAGAAAAAGGTATGCATACAAAAAAAAAAAAAATTAAACTTGCCACAAGCAAAAGGACTTTACCATTTGAGGAAGGTGGAACTGCAGTCACATTGCGTCTTAAAGGCCAACGACGATGATGGTGATGACCCCTGTGTCTTGGTGCTGGAATGCGGCTAGGCTTAGGGGAAAAAGCTGAAAATATAAAGAAAAAAGAGCATTGAATAAAACACTTGTCCAGACTACATGACTAAAAAAAAAGGATACCCTTGCTGACCTGGTGAAGGTGCGGGAGAAGCAGATGGATACAGATGAGGATGAAAAAAACGCATTTGATGCGATTTAGAGCGGGTAAATGGGAAGCTCATAGGAAAGAGCCTAGCTGCAAGTGATATAAGTCATCCACATTCAATTTATTTCTATACATGTCAAGGCTACGTTTAAATACTACATTATTCACCAAGAGAATGATTCCAAGAGATACTCAGAAGAGAGAAAAGGTGAGCTCTATCTATGTGCCAAATAAGGCACAAAGGTGTGTGAAACTATCGTCAATCTCACGCTTCCAAACTTAATGAACCCTTTTTGCTTAGTTGATACATAAGAGTAATAATAAAGGTAGGCTTCTAAATATATATACATATCCTAATAAACAATTCTAAAAATAGCTCATCTTTAGCTGTCAAGCAAAAAAAAGCTATGTTGATTTTTTTAACCGTTTCTTAATTTTTGTTTTTTTCAAGAGATGGAAAGATTAGTTCAGTTCATACCAGAGCATAAGGAAAAGGAGGCGAGAGAATGAAGAAGGAGCACAATCATCGCAAAGTTCCTCATCTTTATCGATACTCTAAAACCAACATTCGTCACCGAACCTCCGCCTAGTTCCTCCGCATCGAAGATTCAAATAATCCAAACTTTAGCCCTAACGTCCAGAATCAGAGCTCTAAACCATAACTTCCTCAAAGCGTCGCAGACATTGATTGAGTTTCTTCCCCCAACACAAAACCCTAGGGGTCCAGTGGGTTTAACTCGATTTTCACAGATCCACGAAATGTGGCTGGAGATCTGCACGCAGTGTGAAGCAGAGTCGAACGTTGTTTGAGAACTAAAGGGAGCTTCTCCGGCGAATGTATCAGAGTGGTAGAGAGAGAGAGAAGAGAGTAAAGTGATTTTTCGAAGCAGAAGAAGCGAAGAGAGAGAGAAAGAGAGACTTTAATGCTTGATGGTGGGAGGGAGAAGGGGCGTAGGGTAGTGTGTTGCCGTAGTGATACTGCTTTCGGAGAAAGGCTAATTAAAAAACAAAAGAAAAAAAAGCGATGATACATTACTTGCACACAAACGCGCTCACTTACGCGCGTCGTGTCTATGCTCCTCGAAACGACAAAACTGGTGGCCGTTTGCCACCGTCACATCCACAAAAACCGTTTCTTTTTTGGGCGTTTCCTACTCCCACCTTTAATGGGCTCATACTACTCCATGGGCCGATCTTCAAATTTTAAATATAACCGACCCAAACCAAATCTAATCGATTTAGCAATACGAAACTTTATAAATATAACCAACCCAAACAAAATCTAATCGATTCAGCAATCCTCAATCCAATGTTCTAAAATCGTTCGGAGGTAGCTGTAACTAGGCGCTCTACAGAGAACTAATATCTAGATGAATTATTCAAGATCTAAGAGCGTTCATTACTGATTTTTTTTTTATATATTTTACACTAGGTGATTTTCCCGTGCTCATT